TTATGATTTTTTTAACTCCAAATTTATTTTTTAATTATAGTTATATAATTATATTTATTATTTAATATGTTTTACCTTAAATATTATGTTGTAGTTAATTTGAATCATTTTGTTTCACTTGATTTTATGGTTTTTAACTTATATATGTTATAACTTGCTTTGAATATGACTTGTGATATAAATTTTTTTTATTAAATATTTTTGATATTTTTATTTAATTTTTTAAATAATTATGAATTCGTCCGGTTCTTCCGACTGGTCAGACCGACTCGACCGATTAAACCAATAAATCGATAACATGACCGGTTCGTTAACCGATTCGGTTCTAAAAACCATGTTTTAAAGCCGCCACTGCTACCAAACCCACGTTCCATCTTTCTACCCTTCTCAAATTCAGATTCTTTTAACCAAGTCTTCCTCCCACGTTTTTAATATTTAAAACCATTTTCTTTTCTTTTCAACCCACGTATTACCACCAGCATTAATAAAACCAAAACCCTTATTTTTCTTTTTCTTCACTATACACTTTATATTTTTTTTAGATTTAAGCCTAAACAAGCATAATTTTTTATTCTTATTCATTTATTTGATTGAGTGTGCCGGACTAATGTTGATATTATAAAATTTATAATTAAATGTATATCGAGACTACATATTAAACTTGATGTTTTAATATGATAGAGGGACTTGAGATTTACTTTTCTACTAAAATTGCCTTCCCATTTATTTTTCCATTAGTGAACAAATTTTGTACCTTTACCCTTTCATTGTTTTTACCACTTTATTAACTTTAGGGATGGCAATAAGCCGGGTTCGGGCCGGGTATTAGTCTCTCCATCTCCGACCCCGTTTAAAAAACTCATACCCGTCCCTGCTTAAAAAACCATGGGGATTTAAACGGGGATCCTCATCGGATAATCGGGAAAAACTGCGGGAAAACGAGTATCCTCGTTTAGCATAAACGATTATTTAAACGGGTATCGGGCCGGATATATATATATTTAAATTAAATATATATATATATATATATATTAATTTAAATTAAATTTATTAATATTATATATATATAATAATAATTAATTTTAATATTTATCGGGTGGGTATCGGGGCGGGTAATCGGGGCAGGGATTACCAAACCTGTCCCCATCCCCGTTTAGCATAAACGATTTTTCCCCGTCCCCGTTTAATTCAGTTTTCGATTTTCCCCGTCGAATTCGAATTTTTTTACCATCCCTAATTAACCTGAAGCCTTTTATTTATTATTTTTACTTTTTTTTGTTACTATTGTCAAGACAAGAGATAAATTTGTTCCATGAACAAAAGAAAAAGGGAGAGAAGAACCATTTAAAAAAGCAGAAAAAAATTATGGTTCAAATACTGTTTGGGCAGAACAAAAAAAAACAATAGAAAAATAGAAAAAAAGGAGAAAAGATTCGAAGAAAACATTGTTTATTGTAAAATAATACAAGGTTAGTGACCCAAAAATATGTTTAAACGTCGCATCCATTACTTTAAGCTAATTCAATTGCATTCCCTTTGGAATCATTAAGTTTCCATTTGGTCGGATCCATTCCAAGTTAAGGTTTATTTATTTAAGCCTAATGCTATACATGGTTCGAGCATACAAACCGGTGTAACAAAATATTTAGGTCAAAATCAATAGGAATTGGTTCAAGTGATAAGCAGTTTGATATCGTTTAAGTAAGGTTTCGAGTTTGAGTCATTGTGTATGCATAAAATCTCCGTTAGGAGACTTACCCACAAAAACCAGGTGTGCGGTGCGAATCGATCCGGATTAATCAAGATAAAACCTTGAAACCGAGAGAAAAAAAGTTTTAGGTCAAACATTGATCATACTTCATAGCATATTGTTCTTAATACACGATGAAAATAAAACATTAATAAATATCAGTAAAACGACTATATTCAAAATATATATTACAATTATTAATTATTGATATAATCATAAAATTAGTTGCAAATCTAGAAAGGTCAATATAAACATAATAATAAATTTATTTAAAAAAATTCATATATATATTGATTACCTACTGTTAAAAAACTAACAATGATGTTAATCTTATGATGATACATCAACATCAACGTTAATATGTTAAAGCGAGAGATCAAAGTATAACCAAATGTAACATTAAGTGTGGTTTAAAATAAATAATAGTTGAATGATTAAAACAAAAAATAAATAATAAATGAGTGACTCAATAAGTAATTTACTCTTTTCGGGCATGGTGGGCCATGGGATAGGTAGGCTTAGATACCCCTGAATAAAATATATTATTATATTTATTAGAAATAAATTAAACTTCAATAGCAGAAACTCTAACCATAGATTAAATTTAAATTATTTTCAACTGACATCACATGTCAATGCACTAATTTAATGAAAAGTACATAGTATTACTGGTGGTAGCAACTAGTGAGTACATCCACATCATCCCGTCAGTGACGGCGACGTATCGGCATCTCTATCGATTAATGCTTTGCATTTCACAATCTTAGGGGGTTTAGAGATGGGAATGTAGGATTTTCCGGAAATAAAATCCACATTATTTCGTTTGGTTTGATTAGGATTGTCATTTTTGGTAATGTTTTATTATTAATAGTAGATTTTTTGGATATATTATCGGGAATGTCATTATCTCATTTCTCTTTAGGGTTGGCAAAAAAACCCGAACCCGACGGGGAAAACCGAAAACCGAATTAAACGGGTCGGGTTAGGGGATGATAAACGGGGACGGGGACGGGGACGGGTTTGGTAATCCCCGCCCCGATTACCCGATTACCCGCCCCGATACCCGACCTGATAAATATTAAAAATAATTATATATATATATATATATAATATTAATAAATTTAATTTAAATAAAAAATATATATTTAATTTAAATATATATATACCCAGCCCGATTCCCGGCCCAATACCGACCCAATACCCGACCCAATACCCGGCCCAATACCCGTTTAAATAACCGTTTATGCTAAACGAGGATACCCGTTTCCCCGCGGTTTTCCCCGATTACCCGACGGGGATCCCCGTTTAAATCCCCGCGATTTTTTAAACGGGGACGGGTATCGGTTTTTTAAATGGGGACGGGGACGGGGGGACCAATACCCGGCCCGAACCCGGACCGTTGCCATCCCTATTTCCCTTAGGTATTGTAACATTACTGGCGTTTTGGACTAAAATACCCTTAACTTTTTATTATTTTTCAAAAATATCATTCTTCTGTCATTGAATAATAAAAATTTATATGAAGGTTAAATTACAAATTTATCCTTTAATTATTTTAGATTTACAAAAAAAATCTATAATTAAAATTTTATATGAAGTTCAGGAGTTAAAATAAAGTTTTACCCTTTCATTAAATATTTTTTATATTTTTAATTTTGTAAAAAAAATTATATAAATATTATGAATTTAAATTTTTTAAATAAAATATATAAATATTTTTCAACTTGTAATATTATACAAATATATAATAAGGACAATTTGGTCAAATATACATTTCAATAATATTTTATTCATTTAACCAAACACGGTAATCTTACATTCCTGCTAAACCAATCAAACACAAAATACAACATTCCCAGTAATCATATTCTCTGATAATCTTTTATTTCCACTGATAATCTTACATTCCGTGAACCAAACGCACCCTTAGGGTTATTTATGAAGTTGTAGGGTTTCATGCTTATGTTATAGTATCTTCGAATCTTCAAAACCTAAAAAATTCCAGAATACATAGAGAAATTGTTTCCGAAAGAAGGGCCTTGAATATCTATTATTGATCTTCGGTAAGTCACAACTTGTTGGTATGATTTTTAGTGAACCTATATGATCTGTAAGAGTTAAATTTGTTGTTATTTGATCGTTTCTATCAAGCCTACCGACATACAAGTAACTATTATATCTCTATTACACCAACACCAACTCCAAAAGTTACAAAATTTTTCGACCAAGACCGTGAGAAGGGATGAATCTAATGAAACCACTTTACCTTAACTTTTCTTCACCCTACCTCGTTATGGAGAAGAAATGCATTAATATTGCTCATCCGTCGATCACTCACCGATTACAACTCTCCGTTAGCTTCATTTCTATTTATGATACTATCGATCCTATATTATCTATAAAACAAAATGAAAGTGTAACATGGTCCATGAAGCCTCTAACATGCATGCATGAGTTTCTTGTTTTAAGTGGTATAAATATATTAAGTGAGTGGAGGAAAGGAGTTGTTTAAAGTCGAATAACCTGAGTAAGGTGCATGAATTCGGTGCTAAATGTTGCAGTTTTCTGTTTGTAAGACATGGAAAGATGCATGAATTCGGTGCCAAATTAAAATGCCCAGCCTTTTACCGTACACATTTATACTTTTTAAAAATCCATTAATTGGTCGAGTGGTTAAATATATTTATGTCATTTTACTATAATCTTGATATTTAGACACTAATCATCTCGATGATTAAATAAATCGTTGGTATATTTTAATTTTAAAATACCACATTTTTATCCAATGAAAAAGCAAAATGAAAAGCAATGTGTGCTTTTCAACTAATGCTTTATTACTGATTGAAGTTGTATTTTATTTTATTTTATTTTATTTTATTGTCTTCAAAAAGTCTGCTAAAAAGTATCATCCAAAAGAAATATCTGATCTGCTTTCTGCATTTTTCTTTCTGCACATGACATCTGCATTTGGTCCTTTATTACTCAGATTCGTTAATGAGTCCCACATATGGTCAAAATATGCATCCAATCCCTGTGACAATCTTTTTAAGTACGAGGATTAAATGTCAAATTTAGTAATATATTGGGAGTGATTGCATATTTTAACTTACATATCCTTTAATCTTTGCTTAAATTAATCCTCCAAGTGCAAACTTAAAATACTTTACAAAAAAGAAGAATTTTATTTATCTTTTCAATACCAAAAAGAAATATGTATACGGCCATTGGGTCTATATATACCTATCCATCCCATTCCAAGCTCTGCAACTATAAACCCTGGTTTCTAACGTTCAATGGCGAACTTCAAACTTTTATTCACGCTTTGCCTTCATGCCTTGTTCTTGATTTCCGGTTCCGGAACTCGATTGTTTCGATTCCATCCGCTTTCGATCGCCGATCAAGCATCGAAAGACCAGAGACTAGAGATAAATATCGACCGGTATTTAGATTTTAAGAAAATTTCAGTCGCCACCCGGTCATCGGCATTGGCGGTTGAAGCTAAAGGAGTCGAGTCGGATCGGCTTCGGAGCAGCAGCAAGCGTGCATTAACGGAGGAAGGCAGAGAAGCCATTAGAGCAAGCATGGAGAGACACGGCGGGAATCCATTCGAGTCGAAAAGATTGAGTCCAGGGGGACCTGACCCTCACCATCACTAATCAGAGGGGGTACATCTTTATAGCGGCCGGTGATTTACACCATGAGAAACGATAGGGTGCAGAACATTTGGTATTTTTCGTCAATTTGTTCAGGTTCTTTTTATGCACATGACTTGGTATGTGGTCGGGACTAAAATAGTTGTACGTTATCGTAATAATCACCTTATATAACAGTGAAAATATTTTTCAAATTTATTATTTTACAAACCTTTGTTATTACCATAATCATAATAAACACAATATAATCAAAATCACAAGTATTACTGATAAAAAGGACAAGTGTTCTAAATGTGATAGGGTCATTCAATCCACAAAGTTCAGGGCAGCGATTCACAAAAATGCATGGTTTGATCAAACAAGTACCAACACAACTAAATATTAACATAACTCGTAAAACCTGTAACAAACTAGCATGCTTCATCACTAACAGGTTGGTTCAAGTGATAAGCGACTTGATATCGTTTAAGTAAAATCTAGAGTTCAAGTCCTTGTGTATGCAGAAAATCTCGCTAAGAAATTCACCTATAAAAATCAAATATGCGACACGAATAAATCTAAATTAATCAAGATAAAACCTTCAACCAAGATAACGAAGAAAGAACTAACATGCTTCATCTTTAACCAGTACAAATACAAAAAGAACTGAAATAAACAATAACAACAACAACAACAACAACAAAACCCAATTCCCATATGCAATTGGGTAAGGGGGAGGTAGGATAGTAGGCTGCCCCCAATGCCAGGTTGAGAGTATGAATTATATATATATGAGTTGAATTATATTAAGTTTTTGATTCATTTGAATTTAATTTAAATATTATCTTTTTTATTTATTGTCTAATCTGATCTAAATTTAAAGATATTCCATCAGACTTAAAATCTGGCATAAAATTTGAAATAAAACTATATATATAGATATAAATATAATTCTCGCACTAAAATAAGGATTTAATTGATATAATATATATATATATATATATATATATATATATATATAAATGGATATGTTAAGTCATATTGAAGATATTTCATGTTAAATTCAACTCGATTAAATTTTATCAGTACAATTATTTTAATTTAAGATATTAAAAAGAAAATTATACTCTATTTATTTAGTTCAAAACGACTCTTTACACAATAAATAGGGTAGAACCTTAGGTGGTGTTTGTTTTTGCAGAGGTAAAAGGTCGGCAGTCTGCGAACTACATCTGCAGGCATCTGCAGCAGAAGAGGTGGACTAAAAGTCTGCAGTCTGCAAGAAGAAGACTGTTTGTTTTTTAACGTCTGCAGACTGCTAAAATGAACTGAGATTTAAATAAATTGATTTTTTTAAACTCAAAAGAGTTTTGCAATACTGAGATTTAAATAATTTTAGTTTTACAATACTGAAATTTAAATAATCCATAAAACTACAATAATAAATTATTTAAAATAAATCAATCCATATTTTAAAAAATCAATCCATACTAATAAATTATTTAAAATAATCAATCCATACAACTACAATAATAAATCATCCATATTTTAAAATAAATCAATCCATACAAATAAATTATTTAAATAAATCAATCCATACTAATAAATTATTTAAAATAAATCAATCCATATTTTAAAATAAATCAATCCATACTAATAATTATTTAAAATAAATCATCTATACAACTACAATAATAAATCAATCCATATTTTAAAATAAATTAATCCATACAAATAAATTATTTAAAATAAATCATTCCATACTAATAAATTATTTAAAATAAATCAATCCATAATTTAAAATAAATCAATCCATACTAATAAATTATTTAAAATAAATCAATCCATATTTTAAAATAAATCAATCCATACTAATAAATTATTTAAAATAAATCAATCCATACTAAATTATTTAAAATAAATCAATCCATACTAATAAAATTAAAATAAATCAATCCATATTTTAAAATAAATCAATACATACTAATAAATTATTTAAAATAAATCAATCCATATTTTAAAATAAATCAATCTATACTAATAAATTATTTAAAATAAATCAATCCATACAACTAAAATAATAAATCAATCTATATTTTAAAATAAATCAATCCATACTAATAAATTATTTAAAATAAATCAATCCATACTAATAAATTATTTAAAATAAATCAATCCATATTTTAAATAATCAATCCATACTAATAAATTATTTAAAATAAATCAATCCATATTTTAAAATAAATCAATCCATACTAATAAATTATTTAAAATAAATCAATTCATACAACTACAATAATAAATCAATTCACATTTTAAAATAAATCAATCCATACTAATAAATTATTTAAAATAAATCAATCCATACTAATAAATTATTTAAAATAAATCAATCCATATTTTAAAATAAATCAATCCATACTAATAAATTATTTAAAATAAATCAATCCATATTTTAAATAAATCATTCATACTAATAAATTATTTAAAATAAATCAATCCATATTTTAAAATAAATCAATCCATACTAATAAATTATTTAAAATAAATCATCCATATTTTAAAATAAATCAATCCATACTAATATTTAAAATAAATCAATCCATATTTTAAAATAAATCATACATACTAAAATTATTTAAAATAATCAATCCATATTTTAAAATAAATCAATCCATACTAATAAATTATTTAAAATAAATCAATCCATACAACTAAAATATAAATCAATCCATATTTTAAATAAATCAATCCATACTAATAAATTATTTAAAATAAATCAATCCATACTAATAAATTATTTAAAATAAATCATCCATATTTAAATAAATCATCCATACTAATAAATTATTTAAAATAAATCAATCCATATTTTAAAATAAATCAATCCATACTAATAAATATTTAAAATAAATCAATCCATATTTTAAAATAAATCAATCCATACAAAAATTATTTAAAATAAATCAATCCATACTAATAAATTATTTAAAATAAATCAATCCATATTTTAAAATAAATCAATCCTACTAATAATTATTTAAAATAAATCATCTATACAACTACAATAATAATCAATCCATATTTAAAATAAATTAATCCATACAAAAATTATTTAAAATAAATCATTCCATACTAATAAATTATTTAAAATAAATCAATCCATAATTTAAAATAAATCATCCATACTAAATTATTTAAAATAAATCAATCCATATTTTAAAATAAATCAATCCATACTAATAAATTATTTAAATAATCAATCCATACTAATAATTATTTAAAAAATCATCCATATTTTAAAATAAATCAATCCATACTAATAATTATTTAAAATAAATCAATCCATATTTTAAAATAAATCATACATACTAATAAATTATTTAAAATAAATCAATCCATATTTTAAATAAATCAATCTATACTATAAATTATTTAAAAAATCAATCCATACAACTAAAATAATAAATCAATCTATTTTAAAATAAATCAATCCATACTAATAAATTATTTAAAATAAATCAATCCCATACTAATAAATTATTTAAAATAAATCAATCCATATTTTAAAATAATCAATCCTACTAAAAATTATTTAAAATAAAAAATCAATCCATATTTTAAAATAAATCAATCCACTAATAAATTATTTAAATAAATCAATTCATACAACTACAATAATAATCAATTCACATTTTAAAATAAATCAATTTATACTAATAATTTTAAAAAAATCAATCCATACTAATAAATTATTTAAAATAAATCAATCCATATTTAAAATAAATCAATCCTACTAATAAATTATTTAAAATAAATCAATCCATATTTTAAAATAAATCAATTCATACTAATAAATTATTAAAATAAATCAATCCATATTTTAAAATAAATCAATCCATACTAATAATTATTTAAAATAAATCAATCCATATTTTAAAATAAATCAATCCATACTAATAAATTATTTAAAATAAATCAATCCATATTTAAAATAATCAATACATACTAATAATTATTTAAAATAAATCAATCCATTTTAAAATAAATCAATCCATACTAATAAATTATTTAAAATAAATCAATCCATACAACTAAAATAATAAATCAATCCATATTTTAAAATAAATCAATCCATACTAATAAATTATTTAAAATAAATCAATCCATACTAATAAATTATTTAAAATAAATCAATCCATAATTTAAAATAAATCAATCCATACTAATAAATTATTTAAAATAAATCAATCCATATTTTAAAATAAATCAATCCATACTAATAAATTATTTAAAATAAATCAATCCATATTTTAAAATAAATCAATCCATACTAATAAATTATTTAAAATAAATCAATCCATACTAATAAATTATTTAAAATAAATCAATCCATATTTTAAAATAAATCAATCCATACTAATAAATTATTTAAAATAAATCAATCCATATTTTAAAATAAATCAATCCATACTAATAATTATTTAAAATAAATCAATCCATATTTTAAAATAAATCAATCCATACTAATAAATTATTTAAATAAATCAATCCATATTTTAAAATAAATCAATCCATACTAATAAATTATTTAAAATAAATCAATCCATATTTTAAAATAAATCAATCCACACTAATAAATTATTTAAATTAAATCAATCCATATTTTAAAATAAAACAATACATACTAATAAATTATTTAAAATAAATCAATCCATATTTTAAAATAAATCAATCTATACTAATAAATTATTTAAAATAAATCAATCCATACAACTAAAATAATAAATCAATCCATATTTTAAAATAAATCAATCCATACTAATAAATTATTTAAAATAAATCAATCCATACTAATAAATTATTTAAAATAAATCAATCCATATTTTAAAATAAATCAATCCATGCTAATAAATTATTTAAAATAAATCAATCCTTATTTTAAAATAAATCAATCCATACTAATAAATTATTTAAAATAAATCAATTCATACAACTACAATAATAAATCAATTCACATTTTA